TTTTTCGCTCTCGTTTGCTTTTAAGCCCTTACCTAGTTCTTGAATGTTCACAAAGTGCACTCCGTGAGCATTCAAAGCGATCTAAAAGCCTCCGAGTTCGCGACATTACTAAGCATTAAAGAGATAGTCCATCAGAACTGCTTTGATGAAGCTTAAACATTAGTAATTGAATCAGAATCAGCAAAATAAGTTTGCTAGTGCCGGCACCATATAATACGCCTCGATCTTCGGATCATCTGGGAAAGCTTGCGTAAACTATTTTGACCACATGACTGCTGATGAGATCCGTCTTGACGTTGTCGATGTGAGCATTCTAAGTAATATGCAGGCGGTTGTCGCTTTGAAAGAAATGCGTTTTGAGTAGAATGTGGCTTTAGGAACGACATGACCCAAGATGATGCAACAGGTAAACCTTTCCTTCTGATTACTCTCCAATCCAAGATTAGACTTTACAGGCCAAAACCAACATACTACACGGAAGAATTACACAAGAAACTAACATTAAACCTGGCGTAGGCATCTCCGAGCACTGCACTGCATCACTGAGAAAAATCCACGGATAGGATTTACCATCAAGTGATTTTTTTTGGTTTCTATGCTGGGAAAATAAAGGCAGAGACTGCAAATATTCAACACACGACAGAATCAGAATGTGTGATATGCAGCTGGTTCTGTAATCTTCATCGTGTTATGAAGTATTTCAAGCCAAAACATTCATTTTTCTGACGCTCTAATTCGTTGTGCTTTGAGGAAAGGCTCACAAGATACACTGATTCTGCTATAGCCAGTACGTATTCTTGTTTATGCGAACTGTCTGTGGTTTCAAGTCGTAGAATTGTATAAGGAATGGAAATATTCTACAGGCGCTGCATATACGTGATCTCGCACCTTCATTCATTCCTTTCTCGATTTTCTTCAGAAAGCTCAAGTACATTTGCCACCCATGATCGCGGAACGCAGCATTTCACGTCGTCTTTGCTTCCTATTGCTCTCATGCGTTGCTGTCTCGATCTACAG